TATTCCCTCATTGAACAAACATTTACTAAACACTATGTTCATTCTCTCATTCTAAATATTAAGTTTCCACTACAAGCCAGACAGATAAAATAGTAAGCAAAAATTGTCAGTCTCTGCCCTCATGTAGTTTAAAAATCTAGTGAAGAGGCAAGCAATAATCAAGTAAGTACACGATTAACAACACTACCCCTGGTCAATAATTCCTTCCTTCTTAGAAACACTTCTTTCACTTGGCTCACTGAATTCTATTCTACAGCAACTAAACCAGTGTCTGGCATGCAACAGGCACTTCATAATACTTGTTGAATCACAACACAAATGTAAAACTGCAACTGACAATTCTCGTGGAGAAGTAGAGTGCCAGGAGAGCCCATAGGAAGACATAAAAAGCTTACCTGAGAAAGTCAAACTCGAAGAGAGCATGCCTGGGGTCCTAGGCAAGGAGCCAAGGTCCGCAGCCCCCTCCGCCCAAAGGCAGGCAAGAGAGCACGCTAAAAACACCACTTCCATGTGGGTGGCCCACCACAACCACTGCCACAGCTACGGCTGCCACAAGAGCAGCTCGGCGCCACAGCAGCAGCCACAGCCACCATGCAGGCAGCTCACCAGACACTCGACTGCACTGGCACAAGGAGAGTCACCAGTAGAGACCAGAAAAAGAAGAAGATCTCTCTCTCCTCAAAGCCCACTCTAGAGTAATAGAAGAAACAACTGCCCTACCAGATGAACAGACATAAATGTAGAGATAGGAGAAAAACAAAAACCCAAGAAAATGACACTACCAAAAGAATCCAGTAATTCTCAAATACCTGAACCTATAGAGCAGAAACCCCTCGAAATGACTGAAAAGGAATTCTAAGCAACAGTCTTAAGGAAACTCACTGAGATACTCAGACAACATAATGAAATGAGAAAAAATAATCCAGGATATCAAGGAGGAAATTTACACAGAAATTAATACCTTAAAAAAGAATGCAGCAGAACTTATGGAGCTGAAAGATTCACTCAATGAAATAAAAAACACAACCAATAGTTTAAGTAGCAAGCTAGAGCAAACAAACATGAGAATTTCTGATCTTGAAGACAGTCTTTTTGAAATAGCCCAGGTGGACAGAAAAAAAGGAAAAAGAATTTTATAAAATGAAGAAAATCTAAGATAGCTAGCAGACAACCTTATGCACACAAATATTCTAATCATGGGCATTCCATAAGGGGAGGAGAAAGGAAAAGGCATGGAAAACCTATTCACTGAAATAATAACAGAAAACTTCCCAGGTACAGGGAGAGACACGAACCTTCAGATCCAGGAGGCTCAAAGATCCCCAAACAGATTCAACCCCAAAAGGTCCTGTCCAAGACATATTATAGGCAAACTGGCAAAGCTCAAAGACAAAGAGAGAATCTTAAAAGAAGCAAGAGAAAAGCATCAGTCTTATACGGAAGCCCCTGTCAGAATAACAGCTGACTTCTCAACAGAAACTCTACAGGCCAGAAGAAAATGGGATAATATATTCAAAATACTAAAAGAAAAAAACTGCCAGCCAAGAACACTATACCCAGCAAGGCTATCCTTCAGAAATGAGGGGAAAATAGTGTACTTTCCAGACAGACAAAAACTGCAGGAGTTCACCACCATGTGACCAGCCCTACAAGAAATCCTAAAGGGAATCCTGCATCTGGAAACTGAAAAATGATAATCACAACCATGAATACAAAAGAAAAAACAAAACCCCCTGGTAAAACAAAAATGCAAACAAGAAAGAGAAAGATACTAAACCTTACCACCACAAAAAGCCATTGTGACAATGCAATAATACTCCTACTTTATTTCTAATTTTAGTAATTTTGGTTCTCTTTTTTTTTTGGTCAGTCTGGATAAAGGTTTGCAAATTTTGTTGATCTTTTTCAAAAATCAATTTTTGGTTTTGTTGATTTTCTCTATTGTTTTTCAATTCCCTATTTCATATCTTTCTATTGTAATCTTTTTTATTTCCTACTCATATTTGCTTTTGACTTAGTTTACTTTTCTATTTTCTTAAGGTAGAAGTTTACATCACTGATTTGAGATTTTTCTTATTTTTAATGTAGGTGTTTACAGTATAAATTTTCCTCTAAACACTACATGAGCTCTGCATCCTATAAATTTTGCTATGTTGCATTTTGATCTTTACCTCAAAGTACTCTCTAATTTCCCTGTGATTTTTCTTTCTCCCTATTGTTTACTTTTTTAGGAAGAGTGTTGTTTAATTTCCACACATTTGTGAGATTTATAAATTTCCTTATGTAATTGTGGGCAGAGAATGTATTTTCTATGATCTTAGTCTTTTAAAAAAAAGGAAAAATTTAAACAAACAAACAAAAGTTCCTGGAAAAATTTCCATTATCTTTTAATTCTATTTTTCCACAAACTTTTTGAAGTGCTTTTGTGTTTATACTGTTTTATTGATTTTTTTAATGCAATTTATGTCGGTAAATTTAGAAATTTAATTTATATTCTTGATTTCTTTTTATTAAGTGGGCTTGTTAACATGCTTACAAGTTTGCCTTTGAAAAGTTTATTCATCTTCCTCTGTCGAAATTAATTTAATATTTGCATGCTTTTGGAAGACTTTGGAGAGATATTTCAAATAACTGTAGAGATTATAAAATGAACTCTGTAAATTTTAATGAGTCTTAAATCTCCAGTTTTTGTGAAAATTTGAAGCCCTACTTTCTACAGAGTATTTTGTTATTCATCTGTTATTCAGTTTACGTATTGGTTACCTGAACAAATAAATGTGCATATCTTAAAAAAAAGAAAGTCAAACTTGATCTGAGAATTGAAAGATGAATGGTAGTTAACTACGATGTAGACAGGCTCAGGGACAAGAGGTACTAAAGGAAGGCCAGTATGGTTACACCACAAAGAGGTAGAAAAGGTGTAAGATGAGGTTGGAGAAGGCAGGAAGAAGCAAAACTATGGAGAGATTTGTAGACCATATTATGATGATTTGTCTTTATTCTCAGAGCAACAGGAAGCCAGTGAAATGTTTTAAACAAAAGCATCAGAAGCAAAAGGAACAGATTTACATGATGAAAAGATTATAGAAGAAACAACTGGGTAGAAAAGAGTTTAGAGTCAGAATGGATGCACACAGATCAGCTAAGACGGTATTACTGTAATTCGGTTGAGTATCCTGGATTTGGGTGCTGAGAGTAGAGATAGACTGAGTAGATAAGATACTTAGGAGGTTAAAAAAAAATCAGTGGGATTGGTGTTGAATTAGATCAAGGGAGTGAAGTCAAAGGAATTTTAAGATTCACGTCTAAATTCACAAAGTACTGATAGATGCCTCAGGGGAATTGTGACATCTATGTCCTTAGGTAGTAGTATCTAGATCTTCAATGTCCAATCTCTTAGCCACAAATAGCTACTGAGCACTTATAATGTGGTTACTCCAAATAAAGATGTGCTATAATTGAAAAATATATATTGGATTTCGAAGGCTTAGTACAGAAAAAGGAATGTAAAATATTTCAAAAATTTTTACACTGATTACAAGTTGAAATAATGTTTTTGATGTAGCAGGTTAGAAAAAATCATTAAAATTAATTTCACCTGTTTCCTTTACTCTATAATGTGGCTACTAGAAAATGTTATATAAATGGCTCACATTATATTTCTATTGGACAGAACTGATCTCATATGAGACAGCAATATAAACATTGCTGTTTATTCAAAAGGAAAAAATAGGTCAAAATATGTAATTTTTGTAAAGAATTTCATTTCTTTGGTTTTGTTCAGGGAGGTAAAAAAATGAATATTTCAGTTTTTTACCATCTAAATACAAAAGCCATTTTCTATTTGTGCATTACCTATGGAATATGTTGTTCCTCTTGTTCTATTGCTAATCCAATGGTTAGAGAGCCCTCTGTGATGTAGGGGAAAACACAGAACTGTGGAAATGACAGGGACTCAGAGATCATTTAGGCCCACCCCTTAATTTTACAGGTGATGAACTTGAAATACTAATACATAAGTAATTTACTTGAAAATTACAGAACTAATACTTCCTATACCACATTAAGGTATGTCGAAACTCATTAGAGTCAGTATAGCATTCAGGGCCACTACAGACTTGTATATACCACAACAAACACACTATATTTTGTTCCCCAAAGAACTAAAAAAGTATCTACCTTATTGTATTGAACTTCAAGATTATCAATGACTTTGTTTTGGGGTACAAAATCATATTTATATCCTTACATGATAAGAGTGAAAAAAGCATCAGTTTTTAGAGTCTGAAACCTAGTTCCAACACTTACCTATGTATCAGAAACAATTGTTGCTGTTTCCTCATCAGTAAAATGAAAATACTACTATATCCAGGTTGTGAAAATGATAGTACTACACACACACACACACACACACACACACACACACACACCTGCTTATAATGGCTAAATACATAATGTTAGACCCCTTGTTTTTATTAAAAACAAAAAATATATTCCTTGATCCTCTCTCTTCTCTCCAAAATGTCAACACACAGTCATGTTATAAAGTCACAAAGTAAAGCTGTAAGGGAAAAGATTACTGGAGTGAGTTGTGAAACCCTGTTTCTAATTTCCGTCCTCCCATTAAAAAGCTTCAAAGCCTTCAGATCTCTGTACTGGCCAGCAGACAAAAAATGAAAATAAAATAAAAACTTAAAAAAAAAAAAAAAAGCTCCAAAGCCAGAGTAAATCATTCAACCTCCCTAAGTCTATTCTTCCCTCAAGAAAAGTGATGAAGCCAAATCAACTAAACTGATTCAAACAGTCGCATTTATGATTTAATGATGTATAGTTATGAATGCCATGTGTTCCTGAGGATTAAATAATGGACAAGTTACATCAAAGCTTTAAATATTTTTAAGTTAATATGTATATAATTTGACATGTCAAAACTTCTTAATTTAAAATACTATAATTGATCATTTTTTGTATTTAAGAGGAATATTCTTAAAACTACTTACATCTGGTTGAATAGCTTTAAATACTGGAACATCCATTAGTGTTATCTGACCCTGAAATAAAAAGTAAAAATAACAATTAGTTCTTTAGTATTCCATGATATAACATATATTCTAAATTAAAATTATATTCTATACTAAAGTAACTGAACACTCAATTTTATAAGAGCTTACAGAAAATGGAAATTTAGTCCTTATACTGTTAAATATAATTATTTCTAATTATCTTATGCCTATTTGTATTTTCGGGGGAGGCAAACTAGGTGAAGTCAGAAAATAAAAATAATTTAGAAAATTTGGACACAGTCACACACATTAAATCAAAATCAAAACAAAAATCAGATCGACTAATTCATGAAGCAGTATTCTTGTTATGATTATTAAATTATAGCTCCTTAAGCAGTGATATAAAATTTGATATTAAAAGATTTTCTTTCACTTTTAAAAAAAAGCAATGAGACTACACTAAAGGCAACATATTATACCTAATGGCTTTACATGCTATGAACCTATCCTGCTCATGGCTACAGATATAAAAAAAATTCAACAGTATATCAAAGAAATGACCAAGCACAGTTTATTCCTGGAATGCAAGAGGGGTTCAATATCAGGAATCAATATATTCTGTTAACGAATTGAAGGAAAATGAGAACATAAATAAAGGAACATTTATGTTGGTTAAAAATAAAAGTTTTTCTAGATACCCTTTCATGATACTGCAATAATGCCTTCATATTTCATTTTTCAACTTTTTAATTTATATAACGGTAAAAATATTTCTTAGATATGTCAATTAAGTACAGTTGGCTTGGGGAGATGATATAGGTAGAGACGGAAGCAATTACCATAATGGTAAATACTTATTAATACTTAGCAAATTGAAAGTGTACTTATGAAGATGCTGTATAAAAATCTACAGCTTTTCTTACCTTCCCCACCTCATCCCTCCTCTTGCTCCACAGTTGTGCTACTCTCCCCAACAACTCCCATATCCAGACTTTTTTTTTTTTTTACCATCTCCTCCACTGGTTCTGAAAATTCTAACTCAATAGCACCAATATGTCAATAATGTGCAAAGACTGGAGAAGGGAAAGGTAAGAGACTTACTGCATATTCTTCTGGTGTAACCTTAAGAATATCAAATACCACAGCATCAAAGCTTTTCTTCAATTCAGAACCTTTGTCACTTAATGATTCAGAGCTGCTACTTTTCTGTTAAATGAAAGAAAATGCAGCCATTTTAATACTGCCTCACAATCAATGTCATAGAAAACAGACTGGCCTTAAAACTAAGGAAACAAAGAAAGTGGGTTAACAAACACTGTAAAAAAGCTGAGAACATGCTGCTTAGTTCGAAGAATACTACTAGATAAAGGGTCAGGCACCTTGAAATCTAACCTTGACTTTAGATTTTTGGGTTCTTTTTTTTTGGCAGCTGGCTGGGACAGGGATCAAATCCAGGACGCTGGTGTTAACAGCACCATGTTCTGACCAACTGAGCTAACTACCCAGCCCTGATTTTTAGGGTCTTGAGTAAGTCATTTAATTGTATGTCAGTTCCCTCATCCTGATATCCTATCATTTCCTATAAGAAATAAAATATTTTAACTAGTTCAATGATTTTCAAATGGAGTAAAGGGAAGTTAAAGGAGAAGGATATACATCTATGTATAATTTTTAAAACTAATTTTTACTAAGACAAATTACTTTCACAACATAAACTACAAGAAAATATTCAGAACTACATTAATTAAAAAGATGTATAATCCATTCTTAAGTTATATCTGTCTGTGATAATACAATTTGATATTGCTTTTCCTATTATATTACAAATTTAAGTGTTTTCTGCTTTAAGGTAATTTCAAGTTTGAATACGCTGCCGCCACATGTAGAACAAAAAGTGGTTTTGGGCCCTGAAAATCTTACTACTGTTAAATTTTCAGTTCTTCTGTGGCATGACATAAAAATATATTTTTTATCAGCTGAATTCAGAGGATTATCAGTATAAGAACATTTAGACCAGGCTCTATTAAATGGTGGGAGGATATGAAACTACAGTTGGTGACACAAAAAATTAACCAAAGTTTCAATTACTAGAGTATACTTACATAGGTCAGCCCACCAACTGTTATACATCAGTTTTGAGCACTTGTCTTTATGTTTCATTTATACTTTTCCCCTTTCAGTAGCAGCTAAATATCAAGTATGGAGTCCCAATCATAAATAGGAAGGGATCTGTCATTAATTTTGGAAAATCCTCAACCACTATTACTTCAAATATTTCTTCTGCTCCTTTCTCTTTTCTTCTGGTGTTCCCATTATGTATGTGTATGTTACACGTTTTGTCACTGTCGTACAGTCCTTAGCTATTCTGTTCTTCTTTTCCATTCTATTTTCTCTTTGCACTTCATTTACGGAAGTTTCTAGTGACATACCTGCAAGCTCACTGATTATTTTCTTGGCTGTCTACTGGTCACCAATCAAAGGCATTCTTTATTTCTGTCACAATGCTTTTGAATTCTAGCATTTCTTTTTGATTCTAAGAGTTTCAATACCCCTGCTTATATTATCCATCTGTTCTTGCATGTTGTCCACTTTTTTCATTAGAGCCCTTGGCATATTAATAATGGTTATTTTAACTCCCAGTTGATAATTCCAAATCGCTGCCACATCTGAGTCTGGTTCTGTTGCTTAATGTATATCTTTTTTTTTTTTTTGGTGACTGGTAAGGGGATCACAACCCTTGGTGTGGTGTCGCCCGCACCACACTCAGCCAGTGAGCACACCAGCCATCCCTATATAGGATCCGAGCCTGCGGCCTCGGAGCTCCCAGTGCCGTACTCTCCCGAGTGAGCCACGGGTCCAGCCCCTTAATGTATATCTTTAAACTATGTTTTCTCTTGACTTTTGGTGTGCCTTGTAATTTTTTGTTGTAAGCCAAACATGATATATTGGGTAAATAAATAGGCCTTTAGTGTAAGGGTTTATGTTTATCATGCTGGGAGTTATGCTGTGTTTACAGTTTCGTGTTGTGATAGGTGTCTGAATCTTCAATTTCTTCTAGTATCCTTGTTTTTTCCTCCCCTGTTGTCTTCGGGTTTCCCTAGAAACTCCTTAGAGTCAAAGCCTTGCAGTTCTTTCAGTTGTAATCCTGTTATAATACAGGAGCCCTGCTGATCTGATAGTAAGGTGTTGGGGAAGAGGAAGCATTCTGTAGTCTTATGATTAGGTTTGAGTCTTTTAGTGAACCTTTGTCCCTGGACTATGGCCTTCACATATGGTTCTCAGTCCCTCTCACTCTGCTCAGGTGAGACGAGAAGGTTAGAGGGGCTTAAAGTTGGGTATTTCTCTTCCCCCAATTAGGTTAGGCTCTGGTAAAGTAATTTCTCTTGAGGGCAAATGGAGAATAGAATACTCTAAGCATTATTATAAAACTTTCTCTCTGGGTATATTTGAAAATGGCTACTCTCCCCCTCTCCCTGCTAGAAACAGAAGAGGCTCTGGTAAAGTAATTTCTCTTGAGGGCAAATGGAGAATAGAATACTCTAAGCATTATTACAAAACTTTCTCTCTGGGTATATTTGAAAATGGCTACTCTCCCCCTCTCCCTGCTAGAAACAGAAGGGGATTTTTCTTTGATATACACTGTGAGAACCTCGGTGAGCATCTTGGAGATAATAAAGCTCACAAAGTAGGGGGCAGGTGGGGGGGGGCAGGGGCAGCGAGGCGAGCCTAAGACTGGGCCCCTAGAAGTTTTTAACTCTCAAATTAGTCCACACACAGTCTCCGGCAGTTAATTACAGTTTATTCCTACCCTTTCTTGGCTCCACTGACTTCTGTTCCTAGTAAGCTGTCTGTCTCTCCAGTTTTCAGGGTGTAACTGTTAGTTGGCTCTATGATATCAATTCTCTGATAAAGCTAAGGAAAGTTATTTTTAGTTTGTTCAGCTTTTTTCCTATTGTAAAGACAGGAGTGTTGAATCCCAAGCTCCTTACAAATCCAAGCAGAAACTTTAAGTCCCATAAATAAAATGGAGTATTCTATTTCATGTACTTAATCTCTGTAACTATGACTAGTTTACAGTATGTCAACAATATTATGTCCCAAGACTAATACAGAAATTTATTCATAATGTTAAGTATTCAAGTAGACATCAGTTAAGCAGTATACACCAATACAGTAACAGTCCAAATAACTAAATATATTCCATCAGGTAAATACATTAATCTTAAACATAAGTCGATAATTTTCTCCAAGTTTTTAACTCATTCAAGACAAGTTAGGAATTCATAATGGCAATTTTATTGCTTATCCAAAAGAATAAACCCTTCCCTTTTTCCTTCTTACATGCTTAAAATACTACTACTGATTCACTTCAGCCTGCTTCCCTAATACCAACTGGTAATGATAAGAAGTTAAGCAGTACTGAAGCATAATGCCTACTAAGACAATAGCAGTAATTCTTCATTCAAGGCAGGACTCAAAGACTACTGATACAGGTTGAGTATTCCTTTCCTAAAAATACTTGGGACCAGAAGTGTTTCAGCTTTCACGTTTTTTTGGATTTTGTAGTATTCACGGAATACATTCCCTAATCTGGAAAATCCGAAATCTGAAATGCTCCAATGAGCATTTCCTTTGAGTGTCCTGTCAGTGATCAAAACGTTTAGGATTTTGGAGCATTTTGAATTTAGGATTTTTAGATTAGGGATGTTCAACCCGTAAATGTCTAAAAATAAGTTCACTGCAATTCTCCTATTGATATCAGAAGCTTCAAGCACAGGTTAAACATAAAAGATACTGAAGAAGGGAGAAGTCAAACAACCCAATCAAGTATTTTATCCATTCTTTAAGCTTATCACTTTTATAAGAAATTTGCATTTTGATGTCAATAGGTCTATATTTTAAGAGAAGGTAGAAAAATATGTATTTTTAGTTTTATTTCTTGCCATAGTAGTAGGACAATTTAAAAGGCAGACTTTTTCGCCCTTACTTCTCATGTACTAATTATTCTACTCTGGAGCCTGATGTAATTCATTCACTATCAGCAAAGTTAACAGAATTTTTTATTCAAGTGAAATGATTATTTTTTTTAACAAAAATTTGTGTACCGCTTCCTCTTATACTAGACCATGAACTTATGGATATACAGTTACAACTGTACTATACACATACATATATATATATAAACATATTCAAGAAACATGGTTATAAATATACTAAATAAACATACACATAATACAAACATACATATAAACATAATAAAATCCCAGTCTTAAGGGAAAAAAGCTATGTATAAACTTATTAAAAATAATTATTAAAAAAAATTTTTTTAAGTTATAGTTTTAAAAGTAGGAAAGCTCTCATCTGTTTAGAGGATTAGGAAAGGCTTTAAAAAGTACAGCATTTGAATCTACCCTAAGTGAATCATTATGCAGTATATGCATATACTGAAACAACATACTGTACCCCACAAATATGTACAAGTAAATATTAAAATATTTTTTAAAAAGCATAACGATTGAAATATGTTTTGAAACAAAATTTCTTTTTTGTGTAGTGGGAGGGAGGGGCACATTGGAATGGGAAGAAAAACTCTAGGTATAAAAAAGAGATAATGGTTTATATAACCATCAGCAAAATGTATTCTTTCATTAGAATGTAAGTTTCAAGCAGAAGATTAGTAGGAGAGTTAAATCCATTAGAAAGAAAATTTGGAGCCATTTTGAATAAAGTCTTGAATGAAAGGTAAGGGGTCATTTGAATTTAATTAGTAGGCAGTGAGGAACCACTAAAACAGTTTGGGGATAAAATAAACTTTAAGAGCTGTATTTTAAAAAGATTCAAATGCTAAAGTTATTAATGAAAGCAGGCAAGTACACTAGACAAAACAAAAAAAAAGTGAGGCAAAAATAAAATCACAATGCAGTACTAGAGAGGTGAACACCTAGTTCAGTCCTCATTTCCCCCTTAAAGCTACATCAGCAGGGTAAGCCCTTCCAGCATTCCAGCCTAACACTGTTCTGATCTCCTCCAATGGGCTTGGAATAAAGGGGTCTACACGGTGTCCAAAATGTAATGATCCCAAATAAAAGAATCTTTCTTTGCCTCACTTGTTCTATTGTCCCCAAGGTTCAGGTAACGTGAAAATACCCTAAAAAGAAATTCTATGTTTCCCTTAAAACTAAACCCAAGAAAGAGTGTTAAGTAATCATTATTTATCACTATTTTTCAAGTATCTTAAGTAGATAAGGATTAAGTGTTTCTAAGATGCACAGTGAACATACGAATGGCAAAATTAAAACAATTTTTAAAATACTAAAAAATGTGAAGACCTTTTTCTCAAGTTCTGATTTAAATATGTGACTAACCATAATGCTTGCAAAATTAGAAAGCCAGGTAAGAAACTATAACTAAACTTCTTAAATGTCTTACCTCAGAAGCAGGAGCTGCAATATTAACACTGCTTGCCTGCCCGTTCATTAGGTCCATGCTTCCCTCATTAATCCCTGATCCTATGTTAACAGCAACAGAGGACTGATTACTTCATGTCCAAGGCCACAAATACATTATTCCTGTGAAAAATTAACAGAAAAATTAAAATATGTGGCTTTTTGGAAGTTTAAGAAAACAAATTCATGCCTACCGCCATGCCAAGAAATAAAACACTTCACCTTTACTAAAGTCTGTTTTTTATTTTAGTTAAGCCACTAAATCCAGATTGAGAACAAAAAGATGAGAAACACCAAATGAACAGTATTCAACAGAAATTACTGTTAGGTTCTTCATAAGCAAGGCAAAAGTATAACTTTTAATTTAAGTGGATATGGTGAGGAAAAAAATCAAATTGCACAACTTTTTAAATTTTAAGTAAATAAAAAGTATAAAAAAGTGGCAAAATAACACATGTCATAACACAATAAATGTTTAGAGATCAAGAGGATACCCCTAAATCAACAATACTGAATAAGCTTACAATTAATTGCTAGTGATCTAGTTTACTATATCATAAACATTTAAAAATGAAATATTATGGAACACATGTCATAAAAATACAATATAGAATATGTTTATTTGTACAAAGCTTTAAAGTTTATTGAATATCTTCAATCCATTATCTCATTGATTTTCACAACTATCAATATCACTAATTAAAGAAGTTATTATTATGCTCATATAAAGAAACAGAACCTCTGAGGACACAGGCTGATAAATGAGAAGGCAAGAACAAGACTCAACCATCTAAAATTCTTGCCAAATATTCTTTCCACAATACCATATCTCTTTCCACTATAGTGAATGTCAAAATATTTACTTGAGGTTCTAATATCTTTCCACAAGTAACTTGCTATGTAGCACTGAGTAGGTAACTTTACCTGTCTAGGACAATTTCTTCCTCTCTGTAAAATGACAAGAGTGAATGGATCTTAAGGTCCTTTTCCAACTTTAAAGTTCTATGATGTTTTCATAAGAGAAATGGTAAGTACCTATAGATTAGGTATTCCACACTATACTTACTTTGAAAACTGAGTTTGAAATGTCAACAATAATTCCTTCAATGCTAAATTTCCTTTCTCTGGAAGAGCAATATAGAACAGTGATTTAAAAGCACAGACTGGAACAAGACTGCCTACATTTGAACCCAGCAAACTTTAACTTTGCTGTGCTCAGTTTCCTCACCTATAAAAAAGGGATACCTACTTCCTAGAGCTGTGGTGAGGAGAAATGAATTAATATGTGCAAAGCACCTAAAACAGTGCTAGCACAGGTAAGTGTGCTATTATGATGCAGATTTTGTTACTGTCTACTTAATCCACATAAAGCTTAAAAGTCAATGGAGTCTCCTAAATAAAGAAGACAAAACAAAAACCTTAGAGATATAGAAGCACATGTTGGTGAGCATCACTAAAAATCCTGATTGCAAACGCAGTGAATGAGAATACATAAAATCTGTTTCCTAGATGTAGCAAAGCATGTACCTGGTTTTCAAATGCTTAAAAATTATTATAGTCTTTGGTCACATCTTAAACGTATCTTCATTTCTTCAGATATAGTCTAAGCACCTGGTAAGGGCAGAACAATGTACTAAAATTTTTTTATAAAAAATAATAGGGTTTTTTAACCATGTAGAAAAGCAATATGAAAAACAAAGCACAGGAATACTTTAATTTCCTCCAATCTACACTATCTCATTGAACAAGCTTCATTATCTTTATGATACTATTAAGGATCAACTTATATTTATACCACTATACAAAATCAGCTTGATCATCCAAATTCTCTCTGAAGGTAACACACAGTTTACACTGAAATGCTTTCAAATAATTTCATCTCACTCCACATTCTATTCATAGATTAGGTATGACATGAATTCATAAATCAAGAGTGCCCCCTAGTGCTAAGAAAAAGATTGTAATTTCATTGTTAAAGGAATTGTATCCCTAACCTACTTTACAGATCGAATATATAATTTTTATTACTATTATTTACTGAAAAAGAGGTAATACAGATCAGGAATAACATTAATACATTTGTAAACTATAACCATAAAGAATTAAGTTTTCTCTGCATGCATGTTTTTAATTAAACTGCCATGAAAATTAAGGTTATATTAAAATCTATTACATGTAAAAAATACAGAAAGCATTTGGGCAATACAGACTTAATATGCTTATACACTTCTAGTCCAAAATCACAGCCCTAGAAATTCATCTTATCAAATCTCTGGAGAAAAAGGAAAATATGTATAAAGCTATTCAAGCAACCAGAAGCAACTTTAATGTATCAGGATTTAAAAAATTTAAATAGACAAGAAAAAACATGAAAATAGCAGTGACAGGTTCAAAAACAGAAACTAAACCTTTTTGTTATGTCCCTAATTCACCAGTACTTTGTTTCAATAATTACAGTCATCAAAATGCTGAGGATTAAAAAAGAAAAGATGACTTTGTTTTTGATATAATTGTTATTGAGCCATTCTGACAAAAGTTTAATAAAAAATGCAGTGGCTTCTTAAAACCATTTCTGGTACAACACTAAGCAAGATTATCTTTGCTACTTATCACACTTAAAAAGTTCAAGTTATCAAGACAGAAATTTAAAAAGAACAAGGTTCTGATGTACATCTGGTGTTATAAAGAGTTCTCTGCCCAGTGCCTCTGAAAGAGGTCAATCTCCCACCTTTGTGCTTCCACTGTTCACTTGTGAAAACTCTACTGCTATATTTTCACACTGATTATATTATCTCTCCTTAATGATCTTTGAGCTCCTTGATATTAAAGACCCACATTTAAAAACAAAACACAACAAAAACCATTATTTTTCACCTTTTCATTCAAGTAAACATAGTACTCGACCTCAATTATCTACTTGATAAGTACTTGTTGAAACAGAGTTAATGACTGAACAAAGCAATCATTCATTGGATAAGATTATATAAATGTCAGGTTAACAATAAAGGTATACGGAGAATGACAATCAAATAATCAATACGCACAATACTACATAAATTTAAAAGAATGTGTTGAGGATTTCTACTTCTAGCAACATGGCTGACAAAACAAGATAAAAATCTTTGTACTACAAAAAAAATTTAGAACAGGGGCTTGAATTTTGATACCAATTGAAGAGAAAAGACATGGCCACCAAGAGATGAGAATGAAATTAGGACATATACTCTTCCCTACCCCATTCCCACATACTTTCACCTACAGTAAAGACAGAGAGATCAATAATCCAACTCCCATCACTGATAAGATGGTCTAGGGGGAAAACAATGTATCCTGGTACAGGAAGATAAAGAAACTTCTCTGTCTTGGCCTCAGCTTAATGTTTAGGCAGGAATAAAATATCCACCCAGAAAATTTATATTTCCAAGTATGCTCCTACACATACAGAGAATTTGAATTTATATTGCCAGCATGGTCCAAGACCCTCAAGACAAAAAATTCACATAAAATACATTCACAAGCTGGGGAGACTCCTGGAACCCCAGGCAGATGGTGGAAACAAAAATTTGAAGGAGGAACAGTCCTTCAGTGCAGTTAATGTGCGATTCCCACACACAAGCCCCACTGACAAGCTCAGCATAAAAAACTACCAACTCCATAAGCAAACAACTCACTACAAGTAAAAAACAGGAAACAACAACTACGAGGATTAACTCCCAAGAACTTCAGATGAAAAATTATCACATACAGGCTATAGAACAGTAAGGATTTATATCAATGGCCTTAAAAGAAGAAAATGAAAACACAAGACAATATGAAAAACAAGACAAACATTTATAAGAGAAATAAAACCATAAACATTCAACATCACCAATCATCAGGGAAATGCAAATCAAAATCACTTTGAGATATCATCCCACCCCAGTTAGACCCGCCATTTTCCAAAAAGCAGAGAACAAGAAACAAATACTGGGGACGATGCAGAGAAAGAGGAACCCTTTTACACTGTTGGTGGGACTGTAGATTAGTACCCCCATGATGGAAAACAGTATGGAGGTTCCTCAAACAACTACAGATGGAGCTACCATATGATCCAGCAATCCCCTGTTGGGTGTATACCCAAAGGAATGGAAATCAACATGTTGAAGGAATACCTGCACTCCCATATCACAGCTCTATTTACAATAGCCAAGTTAGGAAACCAACCTAAACGTCCACTGATGAACAACTGGATAAGGAAAATGTGGTATATATATACACAATGGAATACTACTCTGCCATAAAAAAGAATGAAATTCTGCCATTCACAGCAACATAGATGAACATGGAGAAATTCATGTTAAGTAAAATAAGCCAGGCACAGAAAGAGAAATACTACATGTCCTAACTCACAAGTGGGAGCTAAAAAAGTAAGGAGGGAAGGAAGGAAAGAAGGAAGGTCAAAATAATACACTGAACTTTCCAAAGGAGAGAACAGAACTGTGGTTACTAGAGGTGGGAAAAGCAGTGGGGAGTGTCGGGGAGAAATTGGTTAATGAACACAAAGAATGATTATGTATTGTAATGAATATGCTAACTATCCCGAGTTGATCATCACATACTGTACACAAGTACTGATAGTTAACTCTGTACCCCACAAATATGTATTATTAAATTTCAATTTAAAAAAAGAAATAAAACTTAAAAATATACATATATATAGTCAGTGGAGAATTAAGCATCAGACTGAACACAACTGAAGAGAATACATGAAGTAAAAAAGAGAAATAAAATTGTACAAAAATTCTACACAAGAGTTAATAAAATGGAAAATGTGAACAGATTAAGAGAAATGAAAAATAGAATAAGATCTAACACAATCTAAGAAAGAAAGGCAATATTTAAAGAGATAAAGGCCAAGAAGTTTCAAGAATTTATGAAAGACATGAATCTTCATCATATTCAGGAATCACGAGCCTTGGGCAGGATGAATAAGAAAAAATACGTACTACGTATATATCACTTTAAACTGGAGAATACTTGTTTAAATAGCAAGCAGGGTTAAGGCAGATCACTTGTACAGGAAGAAAATTAAACTCAAAGCTTCTCAATAGCACAAAAAGACAGAAAAGAATGAAATA